GTTATAAGATAGATGTACCTAGATATCAGAGATTGATAGAAAAATTAATATATCTCTCTCACATTGGACTCAATATCTCAAATGATCTTGAAGTACTTGGTCAATTTATGCATGATCCACGCATATCTCACTTGTTTGTTATAGAACGAGTTCTTCAATACCTTAAGGGCACACTCATGAAATATATTTTATATAATAAATAAAATAAACTAAATATAAAAATATATAATGATGCAGACTATGTAGGTTCTATCATATATTAGAGATCTACTTTAGACTATTTTATCTTTCTAGATGTCAATCTCATAACTTGATGAAACAAGAAACAACATGTTGTGACAAGGTCTAGTACATAGCCAGAATTTTCAGCAATAGCACAAGGGATTTGCAAAGCATTATGGGTTAAAGAAATCTTGGAGGACCTAAGGATCAAATGGGGCTATCTGATTTAATTATATTGTGACAACAAATCAGTTATAAATATTACACAATTTAGTTCAACATGATCATACAAAACATATAGAGATTAACTAACACTTCATCAAAGAGAATTAGATCAAAAAATCATTTGTACACCATACATCTTCACTAATGATCAAGTTGCAAGTATATTAACCAAAAGGTTAAGTGGACCAATGATAAGTCTTCATTATCATGAGTTAATAATTAGTAAAAATATAATTTTAGCCTTAACTCATGATAAATAAACTTATATTTGTGTTAAAGTGTGAAAAGTAGTTTTCAATTGATTAATATGAATTTCTGAGTAATTATGTGATTTTACATGAATTTACATAATTTTTACAGTCTTACTTTTGAGATAAATAAAGAAAAAGAAATAAAAAATAAAAATAAGATAAAATGAGGGGGACTCGCTGGCTAGCTAGGCCTGCAAGCAAGTCAAAAGCTCAGTCGGGGAGTAGCTGCGAGCAAAGGCTCGAGCAGCTTAGACCGATAGGGGCACGTGTATGCCACTCCCCTTCCATATCACTGGTGGCCAGCCAGTTGTGGGGGAAGGAGTGGTCATACACGCGAGAGAAGAAAATTGCTTAAAGATGTAACATTACTATATATTCGCCTAAAAAATCAGCACACAACCAATGTGGGACTAAACCCACGTCACACCTTCCTCAGAATGGGAGGCAACCGGCGCAAGTTCAAATCCTTCTAGAGCCAAAACTCATATTTTTTATCTGATTATCACGACTTTCCTACTGATCGTCGATGAAGGATTAAGCAACCAAAATTGCTAGATCATCACTGAAAATCTCATCAACATGATTCGCAGAGCATTGTTACTAAAATTGTTGAACGATTCACGATAAATGGATCGTGAATCCATCAAGTAAAGCATCTCTGATTGATCGACAAACAACCTATCGTCGAGAAGAGGACGATTTGCTAGGAGATGAGTCACCATCTCTTGAGAGCATACTAGATGCAATGAAGAGCCTCCTCTTACTACGCGGACCTGAGGATGAAGCTCCCTAACATGCGCCCCACCTCCATCCAACTCCTCTCTATTAGGTGACAGCCACCGGAGAGCCACAAAGTCATCATTTTTCTACTCTACCGGGTGACAGCCGCTGGAGACGATTCAACAACTCATTTCATTAATCTCTAGACTTCGCATGGAGATCTAGAGATTGCCCACGTCGTCTTTGTCCAAAGAGAGCCTTCGAGGCCATGGACATTGATAAGTCTTCATTATCATGAGTTAATAATTAGTAAATAATATATTTTTAATCTTAACTCATGATAAATAGACTTATATTTGTGTTAAAGAATGATTTTTGGTTTTCAATTGATTAACGTGAATTTTTGGGTAATTATGTGATTTTATACGATTTTTACAGTCTTACTTTTGAGATAAATGAAGAACAAGAAATAAAAATAAAAATATTGCAAAAATGTGGGGACCCGCCGACTAGCCGGGCCCGCAAGCGGGTCGGAAGCGTAGTCGGGGAGTAAGCCGCGAGCAGGGGCTCAAAGGGCTTGGCTTGGGGACTGACAGGGCATGCGTACGCCACTCCCCTTCCACGTCACCAGTGGCCAGTCGGCTGTAGGGCAAGGAATGGTCATACACGCGAGAGAATGGACTTTGCTCAAAAAGCTAACATTACTATATATTCACCTGAAAAATCAGCCGATGTGGGACTAAACCCGTCACACCTTTCTTAGAAGAGGCAGGTGACCGGCGCGGGTTCGAATCCTCCCAGAGTCAAAATTCATATATTTTTATTTGATTATCGCGACATTCCTGCAGATCGCCGGTGAAGGATTAAGCAACGAGAATCGCTGGATCATCGGCGAAAATCTCGTCAATGCGATTCGCGGAGCATTGCTACTAAAATTGCTGAACGATTCGCGATAAAAGGATCGCAAATCCATCGAGTAAATCATCTCCGATTGATCGACAAACAAGCCGTCGTCGGGAAGAGGACAATCCGCCAGGAGACGAGTCGCCACCTCTTGAGAGCATACCAGATGCGATGAAGAGCCTCCTCTTGCTGCGCGGACCTGAGGATGAAGCTCCCTGACACGCGCCCCACCTCCATCCAGCTCCTCTTCGTCGAGTGACAGCCGCCAGAGAGCTGCAAAGTCACCGTTTTTCCGCTCTGCTGGGTGACAGCCGTTGGAGATGATTCAACGACCCACTTCATTGATCTCTAGACTTCGCGAGAAGATCTAGAGATTGCCCATGTCGTCTTTGTCCAAGGAGAGCCTTCGAGGCCGTGGACACTCCACGACGATCCTCCCGAACACTCAGGATTTCAGTGCATCGCCGACGCATCGCCGTCGCGACGCTGAAACTCTATTTTCCCTGCTTTCAATTTAATTTATGCTTCATTTAGTGATACTTTGTGTGATTTTAATTTACCAAACTATACTTCATTCAATTACGATTCTTCCGGCTTTTACAGATCTTAATTTGATTAATTAAGTCGTTTGTAATCGCTTACGTAAGAATCGTCGGGCGGAACTCTGTTTTCGCCTGATTCACGTTCGTTTGGCGCTGACGTCATCCTCACATCCGCACCCTTATTTCCTTTTTTTTCGTGAATTTTAAGTATATTTCCTTTTTATTTCCTAGTATAAATTTTGTAAGAAAATCGTATTCATTGAGAAAAATTCTGAATAATTACCAAATATTATATTACATCCCTGTGATCGACCTAGAAAATTACCGCTATTTTTGGAATTTTTATTGAATTATAATTGATATATTTATTTAAAAATACTTTTAAATATCTAAAAATTTGTATTTTCTAGTTTTATAAATTTTATATTTGTGTGATTTAATATACAACGACTGAGTCACATCAAACACTGCACAATGATCCTCCCGAACACCCAAGATTTTTGTGCATCGCCAACACATCACTATCACGATGCCAAAATTCTGTTTTCCTACTTTCAACTTACTTTATGCTTCATTTAGTGATAATTTTTGTGATTTTAATTTACCAAAATATACTTCATTCAATTACGATTCTTTTGACTTTTACAAATCTTAATTTGATTAATTAAATCATCTATAACTGCTTATGTAAGAATCATCAGGCAGAACTCTATTTTTGCCTGATTCACCTTCGCTGGTGTTGATGTCATCTTGACATCTGCACTATTATTTCCCCTTTTTATAAATTTTAAATATATTTTCTTTTCATTTCTTAATATAAAATTCATAGAAAATCATATTCATAGAGATAAATTCTAAATAATTGCTAAATATTATATTACATCTTTATGATCGACCTGAAAAATTATCACTATTTTTGAAAGTTTTCTTAAATTATAATTGATATATTTATTCAAAAATACTTCTAAATATCTAAAAAATCATATTTTCTAATTTTATAAATTTTAAATTTACGTGATTTACTATACAATGACTGAGTCACGTCAACCAACCTTTCTTAGTCTTATATCCAAGCTGGAATTGGAGGATATCCATTCACCAACTTGAGGGACAATGTTAATAGGACGAATTCAAATATAAGTAGATCCATTAGATGGATTCAAACTATTGTGTATATATATATATATATATATTTGTGTGTGTATCTTATGTCCTTTCAAAAAATAGAGCATTTTTCCTCTTTTTGTCCACAATTTTTCTCTCGTTCTGTAAGACATCTAGGGCTTAACGACTGTCCCTCCTCAATAGTGCATGACACCTAAATGAAGGTTTCTGCATGAGTTATCAGAATTAAGCATTCTGATAATGCCAGGGAGCATAATCAATGAGCATAAAAAGCCCTCTCCATTGAAATAAAGTTACCAGTCGTCGGTTATGTGAAATAAGCTCCATTCGTCTTCAAGTATCTCCGATATTCGCTCTAGAGAAAACAGCTAGTAGGGGCAGAACGACTCGAAGCATCAGGAGTACTAACCCCAAGAAGAAGACTCTTTCTTCTCCCTCTCCCTCCCTCCCTCCCTCCCTCCTCCTCTCTCTCTCTCTCTCTCTCTCTCTCCCCCTCCCCTCCTCTCTCTCTCTCTCTCTCTCTCTCCTCCCTCCCTCTCTCCTTCTCTCTCCTCTCTCCATCCTCCTCTCCCTCTCTTCCCTCCCTCTCTCTCCTCTCTCTCTCTCTCCCTCCCTCCCTCCCTCTTCCTCTCTCTCTCCCCCTCCATCCCTCCCTCTTCTTCTCTCTCTCTCTCTCTCTCTCCATTTTCTCGGAGTTCATGAGGAATGAGTGAACACCAGACGATGAAATCTGAAACCAGGCAAGCATGTCTGTATTGGTTGGACGGTCCATCAACATAGATAGCAGTTGGGACACGAAACAGGGAGCCGGGGGGCGGTCAGAAGCCAACACGGAATCCATGCGAGTGTAGCTCGTCACAGTCCGCCAAAGCTGCAGTTTCTGATCTTCGTCACCCAACCCGCGCTGGTTCGGACCTTATCATGACAGAGAAATACGTGGACTAAGATTTAGTGTTAAACAGGCACATAGAGAGAGAGAGAGAGGAGTGTGTTTGTGTGTCTGTATTGTCATCTAAGAGGTGATTCCCACGCCGAGGAAGTCGATGAAGGGAACAGCCTTAAAGGATCCTTCTCCCCCCCCCGCCATTTTAGTCTCTCTGCCATCAAGAATTCCTGACGGTCCATCTCCAAGAACGAACGGGTAGAATCCGCTGGCCACATCGGCGGTCGCCCAGGGAAGATCGGCGGGCTGAGAGCTCAGAACAAGGGCACCATTGCAGGACCTCCAGTTGAGGTGGTCTTCTCTCTCTGGTCGGATAATGCCGCTGCTGCTATGGGAAGAGGAGGAAGCGCGGTGGACCCGCCTGCCGCCGTCGACGGAGGACGGATCCTGGCGGCGGCGGCGGCGGCGGCGCCTGGCGTGGATGACGTGCCAGTGGTTCTTGACGGCGTTGTCGGTGCGGCCGGGGAAGAGGCGGGCGATGAGGGACCACCTGTTGCCGTGGGCGCAGTGCGCCGCCAGGAGGAGTTCTTCCTCGTCGGCGGTGAAGGGGGTCCTTCTGATACGCGGGTCGAGCTGGTTGAACCACCTAAGCCGGCAGCTCTTCCCTGATAAAAGGCAAAGGAGGAGAGGAGAGGTTATTGTCCTTTCAGATTAGAGGCCGGCGATGTTCCTCTACACAGAGCAAGTTCAGGCAAAGAGGAAAAGAAAGAGAGCGAGAGAGAGAGAGAGAGAGAGAGAGAGAGAGGGCATACCCAAGGCCGTCTTTTTTCTTCGTACAAAAATATCAGATAAAGAGGAGAGAAAGAAGGGAGGAGACACAAAGAGAGTATGCCCTGGAACGTCTTTTAGATTCGTCGGAAAAATATCAGGTAGAGAGGAGAGAAAGAAGTGAGGAAATAAGGAGAGAGAGAAAGTATACCCTAAATCGCCTTTTTTATTCGTCGGAAAACATCAGACAGAGAGGAGATGAATCGAGGAGGAGAGAAAACGGAAGTGAGGGAGGGAGAGAGAGAGAGAGAGACGGATACGCAGAGAAAGAGAAAGAGAGGAGCGAGAGAGTAAGCCGTAGATCGTCCTCTGCTTCGTGGAACAAGATCAGGAAAATTGATATAGGTAGTGATTGAGGGAAGAGAAAGAAAGGTGGGAGGGAGGGAGGGAGGGAGGGAGTAAACCATGGATCTTTTCTTTGGAACAGGAAATGGAAAAGCCGTAGAGATTGAAACGGCAATAAGAGAGAGAAACAGATGGATAGCTAGATAGAGAGAGAGAGACAGAGAGATAGATAGATAGACAGAGAGCAAGAGAGAGAGAGAGAGAGAGAGGGATCTACACCTGTTCTCCCGTGCAATTTCTCTGCAATCAAGTTCCAGTTTTGGGGTCCATATTTCTCGACCAGCTGGCGGAGCTTCTCGTCCTCGTGGTGTCTCCAGTGTCCTCTATAGCACCCCTTCGAATCCTCAGATCCTCCGGTTGTGGAAGTAGAAGTTGCCGTCCCCGTCTCCTCCATCTCCGGTGCAACTCCTTCCAGGGAGGAGAGAGAACCGACTCGGACGAAGAATCTCAGGGTCAAGGGCATGAATCACATTTAAAGTGGCCAGAGAGAGAGAGAGAAGGAGAAAGCAGACGGGTCGTGCTAGGTTCTGTCTGGAAGAGATCGCTTTGACGGGATCAAGGGACAACTACAACCTATCTACAGCTGAAATATGATTTTGTTAGAGCTTCTATTACCCCCCCTCCCCCGAAACAGTCTCTCTCTCTCTCTCTCTCTCTCTCTCTCTCTCTCTCTCTCTCTCTCTCTCTCTCTCGCTCTCTCTCTCCACTTTATCTACCTATCTAATGCCGAGGCCAATCCTTCAGCGACAGATGCAGCGACCCGTGAAGTTCCGCTAGTTGCTAAGCGACTCACGAAAGCTTCCGTATCTCCTAATCTCTACCACCCTCCGTACCCTAATATCCTCAAGAAAGAGATGCGTGCACCGATGAGAATGAGAGACAGATATGAATAGAATAATACGGAGGAGAAGGGGAGAGGGAGAGAGAGAGAGATGAACAAGAACGCTGACGACGGCTGCCGCTGGCCCTAGAAGACGTCGTCAGCTGCCCATTTTTCCTGGAATAGTTCAGCTAACAGCGACACCGCCGGGAACGTCATAAACCTCCGAAAGAGAGAAATACAGGCAGTAGGTAACCCATACTTTGGAGAACCCTGAGAATGAATCTGAGGGAAAACCCTCTCTCTCTCTCTCTCTCGGTGAAACACGGATATCTGAAACCCACCAGTCGCGGGCCGCGACGAAGACTTCAATTCCGTCGGAAGAAACCTCCTCTTGCGACCGGAATTTCGCCCACCTGAAACTCACCATCCGCCGGTTGACCGTCGGCGACATCGTACGCCGTCTAAATCCGACCGAACGGCTATCAACGCTTTAAGCTGCCCGGACGAAACCGGGGCACCGCTCACGCCGTCTAATGTCGTGTACTCTGTCCTTTATAAACGTATAATTGTGCATATATACCCCAACGTCATCTGCCCTATCCTCATTAATCTCAAAAAGGCTACATGTGTAATTGTTCACGTGCTTTATGTAAGTGAGAGATGCCTGGCATCCACGGCCCATGATTCACAGGAACGGAGATCATATCATATTTTAAACCCCTCGTATTACACCATTTGAAATGTGCCCTTGTTGCGTCCCCATGTACTCTTTCGTTTAATTTACTCTTCGGAGTAATGACATCCAAACAACCCATCTCTCTCTCTCTCTCTCTCTCTCTCTCTCTCTCTCTCTCTCTTGGAAGGTCATGGAAGCAAGCCTCAATACTTGGAAGGTCATGGTAGTTCTGTACAGTTTTGGCTAACTAAATGGCGTAGAGTAGCATAAACTATTAAAGATCGTAACTTCAGAATAAGATCATTCCAAGTTACATGGTCAAGTAACCCAAACATTTTAGTCTGGGTAAGTTTGACCATATCTCAAAGATCAATTGAGCGACCAAGTTACCCAATAGAGGACGCTAGGCGTGACCTTACCCATCACAATTGACTGACCAAGTTACCCAATGTAATTGGCCATCAATTGTGGCCATATATCTTGCTCATGGGCGTGGTACGATGCCTACAGTGACTAGGTCAATAGAGAAACCATTGGAACAGCTCAAGGTTTCTCAACCCATATTTTTTATCTGATTTTATAACATTTTGAGTGAAAAATATTCATCCTTGTATTTTTTGTCGTAGTTATCATTGTTATTATTACTATATTTGAAGATACTCTTTAGGTTTCAACAGGGTCAAGGTTCATTAACCCATAATTTTTTATTTAATGTATTATTTTGCATAAAAAAATATTCATCCTTGTACCAGTTTTTGTAGTTATCATTATTATTGTTATTACCTCTTTGATTCTAACAAGCTAAGCATTTCTTAACCTATGTTTTCCATTTGATTTTATAATATCTTGAGTGAAAAATATTCATCCTTGTATTATTTTATATAGTCATCATTATCTTCATTATTATTACTACTACTATACTTGAAGAAAACACTATGATTTTAAGAAGCTAAGCATTTCTTAGCCCATATTTTCTATTTGATTCAATAATACTTTTTGAGTGAAATATAATCATCCTTGTATTATTTTGTGTAGTCGTCATCATCATCATCATTATTATTATTATTACTACTACTAATGTACTTACAAGAAACCCATTTGGCTCCAACAACCATAGACTATGCTGCATGGTTCACGTAGCGTAAGAATGGAGGGCTAAACGCAGAATTTAGTATGCGCACGTGACGTAAGTCGCACCTAGCGAATAGCCGGTATCGATGACACATCACATCCGGCACCAGGTCAAGTCAAATGAGAGAGAGAGAATGCCGAGCTGATTGACAGGGCTAGACGTCAAGAAATAAACTAATATGGAAAACCCAAGATCTGAAGGGTATCTGATTATAGTAAAAATTAAGCCGTTTAATTGACTTGGAAACCATAAAGTGGAGAGGATATTATAATTCTCTTGAGGAGAGATGTATCATTCGCGGGTTGAATATTTGGAACAGAGGAGAGAGATGTACAGATTGGCCCAGCGGCGCCGGTGCGGCCGCGTCAGTGGGCATGGTGGGGGAGGGCGCCGGTGGTGCGGCGGGCGTGGAGGGCGCAGGCGCAGTGGACGGCGGTGAGGCTGAGGCAGCCGCTGATGATGAGGGAGTGGCGATCAGGGCAGGTGTGGAGGGAGGGGAAGGAGTCGCAGACGGCTTGGACGGCGGGGGGGGTGAGGGCGGTGCATTGGCTGATGTTGAGGTTCATGAGGCCGGCGGCGCCGCCGGGGGCCCGGCGAGCGAGGGAGTACATGGCTCTGTCGGTGATGTTCTGGCAGTAGTACAGGTCCAGCGACCGCAGCCGTGGGCACCCCTCAGCCAGGGCCACCACGCTGTCGTCTGCCATGAAACATACCAGGGAAAATGTCAGCAGCCATAGAAGAAGAAGACGAAGAAGAAGAACAATGCGACCCATCAGAGTGATCTGGCGGGGGAAGTCTCTAACTGCCACGTGGCATGCTGAGGGGAGTGTGGGTCCCCCTGCACGAGTTTTGGGTCTGTAGAGGAATGGATATCTGTGGATGTTTTCATTTGGAAGGAAGCTAAACCTCGTCATTAGCTTTAGATCCTTGTTAGGGCCATGATCATGTTTAATCTTCCACTACTAATGAAATTCCGATTTCTTTTTTTTCTTCATAAAATAGGGAAATAAAGGAGAATTTTCATCGAATTCGTTGGTATTTTTCCACATCTACAGGGTATTGAAGACCTTGAAGCAAGGTCCTCAGATACTAGAAATTTAAGTAGAAAATTCATAATTATCTTAGAAAAAGAATAGAGGACAAATAGAAAAATCCCCAAATCGGATCCAGGGGAGTAGGTGGGACCATACATGGCCATTTGGCCAATAGGAAGACTCTAAACAATCATTAGGGGATCATAATTATTTTTAAAAAAAAAAACCGAAGAATGGAGAACCATACCTGTTATAAGAACACAGCCGCACAAATCAAGATTCCTGAGATCCGGGCATCTGAAGGCAAGGCTAATGACTCCTTTATCACTTATACCCTCACACCAACCCAGATTCAAAGATTGCAACTGGTAGCAACTGCATGCAATAGCCTGCACCCAAAGAGAGCAATAGATGAAAATATTAGATATTTGTAAAATAAAATAAAAGATAGCCCCACTGGGCTTTCTTTCTACTCGTCCATACCTGCAAGGCTTTGTCAGATGCAGCTTTAACACATCCACAGAGATTCAATGCTTTCAAGTTTTTGCAAAAGCTGGCCAAGTAAGCGAGGGCAGTATCACTGAAGGCCGAGCACCCGCTGATGTTCAGCGTGGTGAGGTGAGGGCAACCGTGTGCTAAGGCATATAAGGAACGATCCCGGAGTCTGAGGCTCTTGCTAAGATCCAAATCACGAAGATCATGGCAATACGTTGCAATGGATTCTACTGCGTCGTCCTCAAGCTGAGGTTTATTTTGCCGTAGAGATAGAACTTGCAACTTTGTGAACTTGGGGGCAAGAGATAGAAGAAGGTTGTTCATGCTGTCCTTGCACCTGCGAAAAGTAAATCACAGATACAATGAACTGGAAAAGAATAAGGGTCGCATCCTAGCAAAGGAATCATAATCTTCTAATAGAGAAAGGTGAAAAGTAGACTATGACTCATGAGACCTGTTAGCGAAACAGATCTTTTAAATAACAGTCTTCCTGATCTTATGGGCTTCTTGAAAATGGCACAATAAAACTAGTCTTATGCTTTTGGGACTTGAAATTTTCATAAAAATATTTTCTTCTTTTCAATGAACTACACCACTGTTTCTCCACATCAACATGCTTGTGAAACCTACCCTTCTCTTTTAGAGGCTTTATTGTGTTTCCACACACTTTACATTAATCTTAGGCATACTATTCTAACAAGACGATTCTTGGGGCATGATTGATTCCGTTGTATGAGAGTATACAAGAGTGAACAAGAGTTAGTGATTAGATCGTTAGTCAGCGAATGCATGTCAAAAATAATTATGGTGCATGTGATATCATACATGTTGTGTAGAATTTTTATGAGTGATATGTGATAAAACTGCAGTGAAATTGTAAAAGCCTCATTATTTATATTGTTCAGACTCTGAGAAAAAGTATGAGAGCAAGTGTACTGATTCTCAGTGAATAATACTACTTGATTCTGAAGGGGTTGTGGCTATATTTTACATGTGTAAGCACTAAAATCTATTATATCTACCCATCGTGAGATGGTTATGAAACATAGAAGAGTTTCTAATATCTCGTAGGCATCATTCTGTTACACTATGCATTGTGGATGCGGCAATTTCTGTCATATTGAAAATGATTAGAAATCCCGCATGTACCTGTTGATTTAGGTTTTTTGGTGATATCCATTAATATTCGTCCTTTTTTGGGGATTATTTCCATCTCACTACATGATTCTTTGGGGAAAAATCGCATTAAACCGAGGGCATTAAATCAGTTATTAATGGTAATACCACGGCGTCCCTCTACTTCAAGATTTATTTGTACCATTCGCCAAAGCAAGTCCATGAACATTAACTAAAACCGACATAAAATAGGAGACCAAAACATGGGAGGCCATGCTCAGCGAAAAGAAAGAAACCCACGATTCTTTCTTTTTATTTTGTTCCCCTTAATGGAAGAAGAGTGCTACCCATCAGCTAGCGTACTCTCAGTTATGGTGTCAAATGGAACAGCCAACGCAGGAGTTTACCTATAAATGGACAGCTGACTTCGTTTCCTAACCAGTAACTCAAGTACCTAGTTTATTACTTTAAAAACAGCATCACAGGAAAATCCAGCAGACAAAGCAGGAAGCCCATACAGAATCGTTACATCAAATGTCAAGATTGAAATTGAATTATTATGTTTGGCTGAAGAGCATCTTCTATTGATAACAAGTGAACGGCATATTATGAAGAATTCAAGTGCAAGAAGTAATAATAAAATCAAGTGCAACTATGGGAAAGCAAGAAAAAGTTACCATGAGAGAGAAAGACGAGTTAGGCCAGCACTGAGGGCCTCTCGCCATCCTGTACACACACCTGAGGCAACTATGACTGTGCGATCGTCAGTGAGTAAAACAATCCGCAACAGAAGTTCCATTGGCAGGTCCTTCCAACCAGTCATAACTGTTCCTGTCCCCTTCATCGCTATCCCACTGGCGAGCATAAGGTTCTGAAACCAGAAATCCAAATCGCTCTTTTCCAACCCTCCTTCAACCATATTCAGTTATGTATACGGCCTAAGAGTAGGGAAAAGAGAAAGAAAATTCATTCGTCAATCCCCAGTGCGAATAAACTACATGAAATTATATATAAGAAAAGGGTGATCATTAAGACTACTAGAAATATCAAAATTAACCACAAAACGGAAATTGCTTAAAAAGCAGATTCTATTGCTACTCGAGAGTCAGGTGATAAAACGTGAAGTCCAGGGAAATCCCTCTCACAAATCTACTTCACATGCTTTCTACATCGATTGGAAGAGGACAGATCAGCAGGAGCAGAAAAAAGAAGTTCAAAGCCTCTTTTCAAGGGCACAAGCAACAAGAAGGAAAACACTATGTAATCACGAAACAAAGGGCTACTAAAGACCAAGCAATGAAAAAAGTGCACAGATTTCGCCGCACATGATCCCAGGGCACCCAAGGAGAAAAGGAATAAATTGTGGTCCCAAAGAGACAGAGAATATAATAGAGGATAACTCGTCCAGAAACATATCCGTTGGCAGACTGAAACAACAAAGTTCCCCATTGAAAAACGCCGGGGAGCAGAATCAATGAGCACAAATGCCATCTCCATCGAATAAAGTTACTAGTCGTCGCTTATGTCAAATAAGCACCGTTCGTCTTCAAGTATCTCCGATATTCGCTCTAGAAAAAACAGCTGGTAGGGCGGAACGACTCGAAGCATCAGAAGTACTAACCCCAAGAAGGAGACTCTTTCTTCTCTCTTTCTCCTCTCTCTCTCTCTCTCTCTCTCTCTCTTCTCTAGTCGAGAGAAAAGTAAGCTTAAACGTACTCTATACGAACAAGTAAAGTTAAGAAACATCCGAAACATTGCCGGCAACAGCCAGCGATTAACGGAGAACAACACGAAATCGAAACAGCCAGCGAAGAACAAATAGGACAACCGATGAAGATCGCCGATCACCTGCGCGGCCGGAGAGGCAACGCCAGCCGGAGGCGAACTACGCTCCAAAGGAACACCGACGAAGACCTCCACGGAATCGGCGACGTCCAGGGCCAAAAGGCGAGAGGCGACTCTCGGTGGCTTGCCGCCGCGCTCGAAGTCTGCGGCCTGAGAAAGCAGGGAGATTCCTGGGGGAGAGAGAGAGAGAGAGACGATGGACAAGGCCACGTACGGGGGGGTCTTAACGAAGAAAGTAGGCGGGCCCCACAGCCGAACAGACCAGAAGGCAGGAGAGAAATCCCAAAGAGTGGTCCCCACCAGAGACGATAGAAATCCACGACAGAAAAATACTAGCCATATTGTCACAATTGTTTTTTTGGTATTTTGCTTAGCCCCTAGCCCGGCCCGGCCCGCCACCGCTTATTTTCGGCCTTTGCATTTCTAAAATCGGGCCCGGGCCGCGGGCCTCTCTTACTCTGGGCTGCATAGGGCGTCCACCACCCACTCGGGCCTCTTCTCTTGGATTTATTGAACAAGATCGGGGCGGGCCTCGGCTTCGGTTTTAAACCGGGCCGGCCCTGTCCCAAATCTTTTAAATACGGAGGGGGGATGAATGATTATTTTCGGGCCCATTTAATTTTTTTCATCGATCTTTTTTATGCCTCCAGATAATCCTATGCTGGTGAGTAAGGTGTCATTATCCACACGCAGTACGAACTATTAACTAAAGGATTGACCACCACTTTTTACAAAAATACGTAAATACCCTCTCTGACCCTCGTATATTAAAATTACCTTTATTACTGGACTTTTTAAATTTAATTACTTATAAATAGTTATTAGAAAATATTTTTCGAAAGTAGAGACAGAATAGTCCGAATATTGTTTGGGTATCGCGTCACGGACGAGACAAACAGCCCACCAAAAAATGTGTTCGGTGGCCCAGTAAATAGTCCAGGCCCATTAGTAGCGTGCCGATTAGTCCGGAGCGCAAAACCGTCGCCACGTGTCCAGTCCCTTTTCTATCACACCGTGGTTAACGTGCAAGCGAGGACCGTGGCTGTTCAACTAACGAACCCTTCAGAAGTCAAAGCCAGTTGGCCATTCCAAATTAATATTTTTTGAATTTTTTTTATTCAATTTTTTGTATAATTCTGGATATTTGACCGGATGATAATATTGAATATAAAACTATATATATATATATTATAAAATCCTGTCCCCAATTATCCTGCGGGGTATTACCAGGGAGGATAAATCAGAGAATTCCCAGCGTGTCCATCGAGGGTGAAGCTACTAGAAGAAGGGCAGATCCATTAATGGCGGCAATGGGAGCAGCGGGCGCCGCAGGCTCGATTGCTCCCAAGATCCCTCGGCTCGTGAGGAGTCTCCCTCCCAGTAGCAGGCCCCATCCACCTCCCGGATTCCTCAAACGGCTTCCCTTCGCCGGTAATTGCCGTCATTGTTCTGGCGACGATCGTAGGGGTGTTGGGGGTGCAGGAGTTGTACCTACCGCTGCCGCCACCGCTGCCGCTGCCGCTTCAATGGTGTACGAGAGGGAGCTCGCAGTAGCGAAGAAGGCGGCGTCGCTCGCGGCGCGCCTCTGCAAGGTAATGCGCATGGCCTGTAACCCTAGGGCCTTCTGCATCCCCGTGTCTTTCTTGTGGATCCATCAGATTCTCTCGCATCCACTTTGACCTTCAGTTGGAAGAAAACTCTCTCTTCAGTTGTAACCCTAGGGTACTGGGAGTTGATTCATCCAGGATGGAATACTCTCGCTCGTTGGGATGCGAAGTATAAGTGTTCCTTGAATGTTTTTGATTGCCACTTCAGTATCTATACGTGAATCGAAATATTTTTCTTTCCGGAGAATAGGTGGCATGTTCCTATGATTCTCGGTGAAGCTCTCTGCTCCCTTGGATGCGCACGTATGGTTTTTAGAGTAGGCATAGATCCAGAACTTTCAAATGACTATATGCAAATGTGTCTGTCGAACCTGTTGAGCATGTACGCTGGCAGTATGCTGTGTGATATTAGTTTTATTAGAAGCCCGTTCCTTGACTAGCATTGTTAAATCTCTTTAGCAGTGGCCGTATGTTGGAGACAACTTACTGTTCCATGCGAATTTACTCCATACGACTTTAGTTATTCTTTAACCTATTTTCAAAATGATATTTCATTTGGTGTCTCCTTGAGTTTGTGTTTTCTTGTTTCTAATTTTGTTTTTTTTGTGATATTGCAATTTGATTAGATTTTGAAAGTTATTGAGAACTATATTTTCTTTATCATTTCAGTCTGTACAAAAGTCAATACTACAGTCAGATGTCCAATCAAAATCGGATAAAAGCCCAGTCACTGTGGCAGACTATGGTATGAAAGTAAATTCAATTGATGTAATATATCTACATCCTGTTGCATAATTCTGTTACAAGATGATCTCCGCTGACAAAAAATGGAGTCCCATCTTCTAACACTGTTGTATTGTATCAATATGGACGTTTGACATAATAAGGTACTTAAGAACTATGCATTCATGATGGTTTTCCACGGGTTTAGTTTTGCTGCCAATTCCCTTCTATTAGTATGACATATAAAAGAATATTATTCGATTGGAGTCAAGTAGAAACTTTGCGAAGTCATTTATGGAGCAGGTAGAAACATCTGAAGTACATAATTCATTACAAATATATCCTATAACCATGACCCCTCTATTTCCTATTGGATTTTTGTTTCATGATTTTCAGGGTCACAGGCAGTGGTTAGCTTTGTTCTGGAAAAAGAGCTGTCTACCTCATCGTTTTCTTTGGTGGCTGAGGAGGTGAAAACCCAACTGGTGTTTTCTTTAGTACTTATTACAGTCTCTATCAAATAATTTCTGCAGTCCCTGGCCACGTGATTTAAAACTATTTCTCTAGGAATCAGGAGATCTACGGAAAGATGGTGCCCAAGAAACTCTGAACCGTATCACTGAACTTGTGAATGATACTTTATCTGCTGATGGCACATACAAAGTTTCTTTGACAGCAGACGATATATTGGCTGCTATTGATAGAGGCAAGTCAGAAGGTGGCCCTTCTGGGCAACACTGGGTGTTGGATCCCATAGATGGCACAAAAGGGTGAGTATCATATCTTATGATTCTCCTAGTATCTCATCAAAGCAAGCTCTCCTTGTTCACAACTCCTCTTAGATCAGAAACGAGAATGTTTCAACTTTTTCATGCCCATCTGGCTCATCCTTCAAAACAAAATCGCCAACGAAAAGTATGTGGACTGTTTTTCGATGAATCAATTGCATATGGATCAAGTCAAAAGACTCATGAATCGGATCAAGGCTGGACTGATCCACTGCCAAGTTCATATTGGATCCTCTGCTTCTGCAACAGGATGGGGAATTGCCTTCAGGCTGTTCCAGAAGGGACTGCGTTATGAGTGTGGGCTACCATGCTGCCTGATTCCAATCTATGTCAATCAACCCCTTGACCATGCCACGAATCCAATAAAAACCCCACTGATGATACCTGCTGTGAAACCTAATGAACCAGAACCATGTTTTTCTATCATATTACAAGACTCCCACTTTTCAATGATTCCGAGGAAGAATCATAAATCATTAACTTACTTCTTGTTTTCATTAAGCTTTAGTCTTCACGTGACAACATCTGCGATAGGTACTGTCGTCCTTTTTCTTATATGAGATGGTACTGGCAGAGCTCTTTCATACAGCGTATCATTTCAATATTCTTCTGTTCTTGTTCTTTATATCTTCAACTTCAAAGTCCCTGAAACAGGCTACGCACATCTTCCTACTGTACATTGAACTAGAGACACTGATTGATTTCATAATCCGATCATGGCGTAGGTTTTTGAGGGGAGATCAGTATGCAATAGCCCTAGCTCTACTAGACGGAGGACAAGTCGTGCTTGGCGTCCTCGGTTGCCCAAACCTCCCTTTGGCAGCTCTTCACGATCACAAGCATTCCCCTCAGAGCCCAGTCGGCTGTCTTTTCTCTGCTAAGCTCGGCGCTGGGACTCACATGGAGCTGCTAGATGGTTCTTCACCAACGAAGGTATCTGTCTCTAACATATATGGAAAAAAGTAAATGCCATATCTTTTGTACTTGATTATTATCGAGAGAATTGTAGAACACGGGGATTAATTAATATAATGAAATTCATAGAAGAGTCCAAATTGGTTATGAAATCTACACGAACTACTCCAATCCAGGTGCAGGTCAGCGCTGTTGAGGACCCCGCGGATGCATCCTTCTTCGAGTCATTCGAAGCTGCCCACTCCTCACATGACCTGTCTAGCTCCATAGCCAAGGTATGGCGCTGTCTAGCTTCTTGTGTGGAATTCTATTTTCTAGGGCTGATTCCGATTCCTTCCACCTCCGCGCTGGGGAATAGAGACTCGGAGTCCAAGCTCCCCCGGTCAGAATCGACAGCCAAGCTAAGTATGGGGCATTGGCCAGGGGCGACGGGGCCATCTATCTGCGTTTTCCGCACAAAGGCTACCGTGAGAAGATATGGGACCATGCGGCAGGGTCAATAGTCGTCACTGGTGCGTTGACTCTTTCCTCCCCTTTTGGATTCTTTCTTCTGTGGAAGTATTAGATTTCGCAGTCTTTCATGTGTTGGATGTAATCATCTGATGGTGATCATCTTCGATTAGAGTTTTAGGAGAAGAGGGCTCGATCTCTGTCTTTCAGGTGTCGGATTTGATCATCCGATATGGATCATCTTAGAGAGAGAGAGAGAGAAGGTGCTATCTGGGGAAGTTTAGATTGGATTTCGCTGTCTTTCATGCATTGGACATAATCATATAATCTTGCTCATCTTCGATTAGAGATTTAGGAAAAGAGGGATCGATCTGTCTCTCAGATTCTGGATTTGATCATCAAAGAGAGAGAGAGAGAGAGAGAGAGAGAGAGAGAGAGATGGGTTGATTGGGGGGTTTGCTTATACTGCTAATGAGTTATTAAAATGGCGTTCTGCAGAGGCCGGAGGGGTGGTGGCTGATGCAGCGGGGAAGCCGCTGGATTTCTCCAAGGGCAAGTACCTGGACCTCGACACGGGCATCGTCTCCACCAGTCAGAAGCTGATGCCCGCTCTTCTAAGTGCCGTCCAGGCTTCCTTGAGAGAGACATCCGAGTCCGTCGGACGGCTGTGATCCTTCCCATCTCTCATCTCTCTCTCTCTATCTCTATCTCTATCTCGACAGCATCTACCTTATACCTGGTTTTTTCTGTGGTCTTACTATTTGGGTGGGCTGTTTGGTGGGTTTGAGTATGGGGCCGGGCGGCTCCGTAAAGGACGGTGGGCCTGGAAGATGTAGAATGGGCCGCTTTCTCAGGAAAATTAGGCCGGGCTAGGCTTTTATCGGGGAGGGGTGTGAGTCCTGCACATAAATGACCCTCTTTAATTTTTCTTTTATATCATTAATGCCCACGACTTTATTTGGATAGGAAAATCATAAAGGCTTAATCTGAACAATATTTCAACGGGGAATACTTCCATAAATAGAAAAAAAATATGCCGCTATTATTTCCCGAAACTCGGGAGTTACAAAAGTAAACCCTCCCCCGCTCCCCCGGTGACGTCAGAACTAAGAGAAAAACCTCCCCTCCCCTCGGTACGAAAAGTCAAATTGGCCGCACTTCTAACTAAAAGTCAACGCCTGCGAAAACAGAGGGAGGTCCCTCCCCTTCTTTCCCCTTCCCTTAGCAGAGAACGAAGAAGAGCTAAAAGGTGAGGTCTTTTGGATCCTCGATGATCTGCGCCAGGGTTTGCAGGAACGCCGCGAGGTCAGCTCCATAAATAATCCGATGATCGGCCGTCACATTCACCTGCATGATCGAAATCTCCCCCGTTTTCAGAACCTTCAAGAAGCCTAAAAACCCTAAACTGAAACCCTAACTGGATTTCGAGAGAGAGGGGAGGAACAACTGACAGCTTCATATGTGGAGAGGGAAATCGATGATGAAGATGAGTGCGCCAAAACCCTTAACTGAGACCCTGGTCGGATTTCTCGTGATATGGGAGGAACTGAAACCCTAGACTGAAACCCTAATTTGAAACCCTTCTTGGATCTCTTCTCAGGAGAGAGGGGAGGAACAACTGGCAGCTTCATATGTGGGGAGGGAAATTGATGATGAAGATGTGTCTAACAAAACCCTGAACTGAGATCCTGCTTGGATTTCTCATGATATGGGAGGAACAGAAACCCTAGACTGAAACCCTAATTTGAAACGCTAAACTGAAACCCTTCCTGGATCTGTTCTCAGGAGAGAGGTGAGGAACAACTGACAGCTTCATATGTGGAGAGGGGAAATTGATGATGAAGATGAGTACGCCAAAACCCTTAACTGAGACCCTGCTTGGATTTCTTATGATATGGGAGGAACTGAAACCCTAAACTGAAACCCTTCCTGGATCTCTTCTCAGGAGAGAGGGGAGGAACAACTGGTAGCTTCATATGTGGGAAGGGAAATTGATGATGAAGATGAGCGTGACAAAACCCTGAACTGAAAGCCTGCTTCGATTTCCCATAAAATGGGAGGAACCTGGAATTAAGTTTGATACGGGGGAGAAATTGTAGAAGATGATGGTACCTGCATCTGACTCTTCACCCCGATCCGACCGTCCTTGGTGGCAACAACGCTCGGCTGGGATGCTCCAACGGCCATGATCGCTCCCTGGAGCAAGCGGACAACCGATCAATGCGATCAGAGTTTCTGGAAGAAGGCTCGAGGCCTGGAGTCCCAGATCCACTTACAGTGCCAGGTGGCAGGATGGCGTCAAAGCGATCTACTCCGAACATGCCAAGGTTGGAGAGAGTGAACGTGCCTGAAAAGCACAGAAAGAAAAAAAAGGGCAGTCAAGCACAGGAAGAACCGAGCTGCAGGCAGAGAAGAGGAGAAATGGAGCAGACTAATCCTGCTCTATGGGTTTTCCTTCTTCTTATGATTGATCCTTAGTGCACTGAAAGTTGCAAAAAGATGGAGACGAATTTCCCCATTTTGAAGATGAAGATGAAAATCATGAGGACATCATCCCTTGTTCATAATCCACTCTTCCCACTGCTAAGTTTTTCTATAAATGTTAACGTTGCCACCTCAAGCCGTCCAGAATCAGGTAGCTGACCACCGATTGTCTACCACACTTCTTCAACCTCTTTCAAGCTTTGGGTCCCCCTGTAGGAAGGATCCATTATCTCAGCCAAGCTATCCACGTTGACTTACTTTGACATCTCAAGCAGAGTGTAGAAATTGTTTCCATGCTCATTCCAAGTATTCTCTAACTCATCCATCCCAAATGCCCCTTCGAGAGGGAAGATCAACAACAAGATCAAAACTCCTCATTATGAAAGTAGCCTTCTGTAGATGGGCCGATTGGGCCCTTTCCAAGGTGTGGGGATGACCCATGGACTGGCAAATGGGTCCATCAAATGTTTTATTACCTGGGTCAAGAACATGTGACTACGCGGCAAGCAGAAACTCTGAAGGTTGACTCGAAAGAAGAGACTGAGAGGGTAGACAATAGTTTTCTAGCTTCTCTTGGTCGATGTCTTGGTCAGGCCAGCCTCCAGAGGTGATGCCAAAACATTCTCAAGCCTGGTCAAAGAAGCTCGATCAGTCATCCTTTTTCCATTCCTCTCTATCAGTAATGTTCCAGCAGTTGTAGTAAATATCGTACCCATTGAAGAAGACAATCGGACGCAAAAAAAATTGCATTTTTAAACCTTAAGAAATGGTGCCTATCAATGAACGCTAGATTAACTGCAGCATCTATCATAAGCTCGGTATATTGCCTTTTTAAAAGCATTCTTGATTATCACCATCAGCTTACCCATTCAACAACGTTGACCAGGAGATCATCATATCCTCTTAACAGCCCCCAGAAATGAGGAACCAGAAAAGGGCTCCTCCGCACCTGGCCGCCACACTTCCAGGACGCCAAGATCAGCTTCGTACGGAACCTCAGTGGTGTTTCTTACCACAGCCCCAACATGAGAGATTAGCATATTAGCTTGCCAAAATAGTTCTCTAGAAAACAAATGATGGAGTAATTAGCCCCGACAAGGTGTATCCCAAACACTCTTCTGTTCTTCCATTAGCTGACACCCGTACTCCTGTAACTGATATCTACAACGCCAAGTCCTGATAACTGAACCAATTATCCGGTTGCAGAGACAGTCCTCTTGAGGAGAAACAGAAAAGAGGAGTAAAGCTTCCTACTCTTCGTTGCCATATGTAAAAGAAGAAATATTCTCATTTTCCTCATTTTCCCCATCGTAGAAAAGGGAAATGCTAAGACAATATTGTAAAATTCAGAATTAACCAAACCACCGTCAGGCAATCTAAATTTTGGTGATATACGATCACTGTTGTCATCTCATTTCTCACACTCTTCCGAATTTAAATATAGAGGCCATCTGAAGAGCCTCTTCGGTATAATGATTTAGTGAAATCTACGACCACCAGTTACTAAAGCATCAGATGATAATACCCTTTCGTTAAAACCAGGCAGAAATGGAAAGAGATGCTAGGTGGACCATAAACGTTGCTAGAACGCGAGCAAGCAACGAGTTACCTGTGTTGTACTCCTGAGGTTGAAGCTGCTTTGCTCGAGCCTTATCAACCAATTCTTTCCACTTCCTCGACAAGGAATAAATATCGACCTGAAAGTGCGACCATTAGCAGAGCTCCATGGACAGGGGGAAAGAAACGGAACGAGTAACTACAAGCAACGCGAAGAGTAAAAACCTTGTCAGCTTCCTGAAGAACAGGCGTGATCAACCCACCATCAATAGCCACTGCCACGGCGATGTTGATGCTACTGTTATAGGTGAAGCTCTGACCATCTCTGCAGCTGGAGTTGACGACTGGATGCTTGGCCAGAGCCATTGCCGTTGCCTTTGCTAGCAGCGCAGTCATGGTCACACCCTTTGACTTAATCTATATTCAATTGTATGAAGCCGTAAAATAAGAGCAAATAAAAACATTCAAGGAGAGATGAAAATCTTCAACGAGATTGCATGTCAAGAAAGGCGCAGAATATATTACTTTCTTGTATAAAACATCGAGCGCATCAGTTGTGATGGTGTACCCGACCCTGAACGTCGGAACCGAGAGGCTATTCACCATGTTCCTGCTTACTGCCCCCTGCATCGCAGAAAATGGAACAACCGTCCCCAGCTCGACCGATGGAGAACTTGGAGGCTTCGCCGGGGGGGAGTGCCTTCCTGGCTGTGGGCTAACCGCCACAGAAGCAACTGCTCCAGAAACAGCAGCTGCTTCCACGTCTTTAGCCACAATTCTCCCCATCGGGCCACTCCCGACAATTGACGCTAATTCCACCTTCAGCTCCTTGGCGAGCTTTTTAGCGTAAGGGGACGCTACGATCCGCGCACCGCCGTCGGAAGCCGGATGAGCTGAAGCCACTGCAACAGGGATCGGAGGAGCAGATTTGATCGGCGCCGGAGGAGGGGGAGCGGAGGAAGGCACGGCCGGCTGAGAGCTCTCCGCAGGAGGAGACTGGGGAACTTCCGCAGCAGCCGGGGATGCCGATCCCGCCGCCGCCTCCGCCTTCGATTTGGCTTCCGAGATCTCCTCCTCGGTCTCCGCGAGAAGAGCAATAGCAGATCCAACGGCCGCCACGCCTCCTTCGTCCACCATAATGGCGGCGAGATAGCCGTCGTAAAAGGTCTCGACGTCCATGTCCGCCTTGTCTGACTCCACCACGACGACGCTCTCTCCTTTGGACAGCTTTTCCCCCTCGTTCTTAACCCAGGAGACGATCTTCCCCTCGGTCATGGTGGAGCTCAGCGCCGGCATGAAGATCTCCCGAATCTTCGCTACCACCACCCCCGGCGGCGCTGAGGTCCGCCCCATCCCAGGGGCGGCATTCCGGCCGGCCGCGCCGAGGAGCTTCAAGGTCGATGGAGATCCCAGGAACGAGGTGCCGATCAGCCCCGCCATCGCCAAAGACTCCGAGATCCCTCTGCTTCTTCTTCCTCAGCTGCTGCGGCTTCCAACTGGAAGTGGATGGGGAAGGTGGAAATCAGGTGGGGCCCACATTGGGATCATCGAAGCGACGGCGGATATCTCGATAGGCCATCTTTCCCCTGCCCGTCTCGAGCCGGCCCACAAAATCCGATTTATTAATTACAAATACTCATTTAAATATTTTTATTAAACAATGAGATTTATTTATCGCGTTTCAAAGAATTTAAGTGGCGATAATAATTACATAAATTTAAATCGGTGCTTCAACTTTTTTCATTAAAATTATAAATAATGCACTCTATTAATGCGGCATTTAAAGAAAATAAAAGGAGCAAAAAGAAAAAAACCTAACTGATTATCGATCAGACCGTTGACTGAGACATGCGGGAAGATCTTCCACCGAAATGAAAATTTTATTTATTCTTTACAATATCTTAAATACCGAGGGGAAGTCAAACTTTCCTATAATAGAGATATATTATGTTGCACCAACTCGAATCTCGAGTCCTCTTCTAAACAAAGAGGCGGCGCCACCGCCGCCGCCGGCAATGATAATCTTCAAGAAGCGAGCGTCCGCCGTGAGGTTGACTACGACGGCGGCGGCTCCGGCTTGGCTTAGTAGTCGGACTTGAAGGGGCGGTAGGTCTTGAGGTCGAGGATAACTCCGGCGACGGAGCCGGCGGCGGCGGCGGCGGAGATGACGAGGCAGGCTGCGCTGAGCATCTGCAAACAGACCCACCGTGGGCTCCACCGGGGGATCCTCTTCTGGTTGATGTACATCTCCACGGGGAAGTAGACGGTCAACGGCCAGAAACCGAGAGCCCCCAGGAATCCCACGACGTCGTTGAAGAAGGGGAGCAGCATGGAGATGACGGTCGTGACGACGACGAAGGCGGTGCGCCAGAGAAGGCGGAAGGCATTGACCCGGATGGTGGCGGCGCCGCCGGGAAGGAGGCGGAGGGGGTGTTCACCGTTGACCAAGCGGGAGTGGGGCCAACGGCGTGGGGCCCAGGACTCGACGAAGGCGAAGAGGGGCTGGCAGTAGACTTGGTAGGCTCCGACAAGGTGGATGACGATGGCGGCGTTGGCGGCGTCGAGGAGCCAGAAGGGCTCGAAGAAGCCGAAGCTGGTAAGGAGGTTGCCGGGGGCGGCGTCACCGAACGCGGCGTAGCCGGCGCAGCCGCAGAGAAGATAGAAGACCGTGGTCACCGCCACGCTCAGGAGCGCAGCCCTCTTCATCGTTTTCGCCTCCGACGGCGGCGACTTCACGGTGTCCTGCCGGATGACGCCGCCAACCAGAAAGAAAAAGTCAGCCGCCGGGCATTCTCTCTCTCTCTCTCTCTCTCTCTCTCTCTCTCTCCATCTGTCTATCTATCTCGACGTTACCTTCTGAATCACTAGTAAAAGTCGTCGATCAAAACTGCCCCTGATTTATACCTGGCTTTCTCTAATTTGGGTCTCATTTATCTCTCTCTTCTCGCTCTCTGCCTCTCATTTCCCGTACTTTTCTCAAGGACTGTAGACTTGACTTCAGTGAAGCTCAGCAAGGATAGTCAATGGGGTGGGGCGTTGACCTCCAAGTGATATATCAGCGGAAGGACTCTATTTATTGAGTGAGCGAGGTACCTGGATTTCGATGAGGATGATGGAGTAAGAGTACGCGAAGGCGATGTCGCCGAAGGCTTGGAAGGTCCGCCACATCTTCTCAGTTTGGGTGATGGGCCCCACGCTGATCCCCGTCAGACTGCCCTTGAAGCCTTTGTTTGCTGAGTAAGGTCAATTCGTTAAATATTTATAACAACATCCTAAAAATGTTTACTTATTTATGAAACTAAGAAGATAACAATCATGGGATGCTCATATTGATTTAATTTTTTATGTAATGCAATTATAGATGAGTGTTTTGGTAGACCATTTTTCTGTCAATATTACGTTAATTTAAGATTTTATTTAAATGATTGGAGAAAAATTATAAGAAATTACATTATTTAAAGTTATCATGCTTTTGATTGACTTGGTATAAATTTATGCTCTCATCCTGCAAAAAATCATAAGAATATGTTCAGTGGTTTTATCATTCAACAAATTGAGAACTTATGAGGTTTTTTTATAACTAATAAAGGTCAAATAATATCCTATTTAGGTGTCAAATAATACTAATAATAATACTGAGGAAATTTTAATGATGAATATTTGATAAAACAATCATGTAATAACTTGGAAATTATAAGATATAACTTGACGAATTACTTAGATTTATGTCTATTATTTTTCCAACATTAAATCAATTAATCAATAATGAGTGAAGCACATACATGCATGTATATATTTTTACATAATCAAATATTCTGATGAAAGAAAGGTACCAGTCAAAAGGTTTCATGATTTACAAATAAAATGCAAAAAAAGCTGGAAATTACAAATTTTCTTTCTAATAAATAAGCGTTAAATAAAAATAAAAAGAGGTTCAAACGGTATAATAAAAGTCAATCAACAATTTATGGATTTTATTTCATTTTCTGCATACCCTAATAAACCAACTAAAAAATGTCAATAGTTCCAAACCATCAGAATTTAAAATTTAATTCAATTTTTTTTACAAGAAATCATCCAGCTACTTGTGAAAACATTATATTAAAGAGTGAATGAATTCTCAATAACAAACCTCGTGTTTGTTCAAAATACCCAGAAAAATAAAAGTCAATGATATCTGATCATATGCAATCCGATTGCCTATAACTACAAAAATTAATCAAATAATAACAATATTATTAAATATAAAATCAGACGGACGATGAACCGAAGGAAATTCATGGACGTAGTCAAACTTCGTGCGATGAAAACACATACCTACGACTTGAGCGATCCCAAGAGCGAGGCCGATGGAGGAGTAAGTGAAGGACATGACGGCTGCGACGATGGAGAGCCACCATATCTGGTCAAACCCGGGGATCTGCGAGAAGATGATCTCGGTCGCCCCGAAGGCGATCATGTATGCGTTGCTTGACACGTGGCAGGGACCATCGTGGCCCTTCCGATGGAAGCAGTCGGCCCTCCTGATGGCCCTGCTCGTTGACAGACATCACAACGGGTGCGTCAAGACCAGACCACGAGTCATCAACCTCACCGTCCGATCCGATTCCAACGGCTGAGATGTATACTCACATCATGCTGATCGACGCCGCAATGGTGTACCCAATTGCCACCCCGAAGATGTTCGCGTACTGGATCCACCCGCAGATCTTCACCTTCATCCCACCTGAACCCAGGTCAAATTTACAACAAAAAAATTAGAAAAAATGAAAAAAAAGATCATAAATAAGACGATAAAACTTTGGTGTGGGGGAGGTTTTATAAAGAGGGCGTTGACCGAGATTGGCGGCGACGGCGTCCATGTAGGTGTAGTTCCTCTTGCCGGCGGCGGGGTCGCCGGAGCGGTAACAGTCGGAGAGGAGGGAGGAGGTGTAGTAGGTGACGGCGGAGAAGAGAAGCATGGCGGCGGGGCCGGCGACCCATCCGAGTTGACCGATGGCCCACGCAAGAGAGAGGACGCCGGATCCGATCACTGCCGTGATGATGTGGGCACTCGCCGTCCACACGGTCCCTAGCACCACCATGGCGGAGCAGCAAGGTCAGAGGTTGAAGAAGAAGAAGAAGGTGGGGCTTGAGGAGGAGGGAGGAGGGAGAGGGGAGGAGGAGGTTTTCTGACCTGTTCTCTTGAGGCGGCCGTCGTCGTCGTAGCACTTGCTGGGGCCTAGGGTTTGATGCTGCTTCCCCAGGTCGATGGAGAAGCTGGACCCGTGATGGTGGTGGCCTCTGGTGGCGCCGCCGCCCTCCGCCATTCTTGTTCTCCGCTGCCCTCCGCCGCCGCTGTCCTGAAAGAGGAGGAGAGGATAGAGAACGGGGTTTCTTTTAGAGAGAGAGAGGAGTCAATGAGATCGACTGCTCTGCGGATAATTTGCAGAACGCTTCCCTAAGCTCACAGAAACCCAGAAATCCATGACAGCTGATATCTATGAAGTGAGGGGATTCTCAAGCGGGATTAAGATATGGGGAGAGAGAGAGAGCAACGTGTTCTTAGGGGGATAGCAGAGGGATGAGACTTGGCGAGGTCGGGGACATAGGCTCTCTCTCTCTCTCTCTCTCTCTCTCTCTCTCTCTCTCTCTCTCTCTCTCTCTCTAAAATAGAGATCCTGATCGAGTTAGGGAGAAGATCTGTTCACACTTGCAGAAGACCCGGTGGCAGCGCTACGTGGTAGCTCGAGGATATTGAATGCCGGTGAAGTCCCAAGATCGAGAGACCTCGCTCCTCTCTCTACACTCTCCACGTACCTCACCCCCTCCCTCTCCCTCTCTCTCTCTCTCTCTCTCTCTCTCTCTCTCTCTCTCTCTCTCTCTCTCTCTCTCTCTCTCTCTCTCTCTCTCTCTCTCTCTCCCTCCCTCCCTCCTTTCCTCCGCCATGTCCAACTTAATGAGAACTCTGAGGCGCGAGAAGAAGATGAACAAGGAACAGGGGCAACTAAGAACATCTCCTTACCTCCTCCCACTGGCCTTGTCGGCGGACCACAGCCGGCGTAACGGCGGTCTGCCGCTGCCGGTGGAGTGATGGTCTCCGCGGGGAGGGCTTCTGCCCTCGACCACGCTTATATAGTATTGATGAACAGAGATAAAGAAGGGAGGGAGATTGAGATATTAGAGAGAAAGAGAGTGATCGCACGTGCAAAGGATTTCATCCATCCATCCATCCTTGCTGCCGGAGAATCAGATTCCCCTTAAAACATGATCCACCTTCTCACGCACTGTAATTCTAAGTGAAGAAGAAGAAGAAAAGACAGACGTATAAATAGCTGGATATATAGATAGACAGAGAGAGAGAGATAGACAGATAGAGGCAGGCAGTGGTAGATAGATTGATAGAAAGAGAGAGAGAGAGAGAGAGAGAGAGAGAGAGAGAGAGATCTATTTCTGGACTTCCTTATTCATCTCTGCTTCCGCCTTCATCTCTCCCCTCTTCTCTCTGTAGCCCTCGTGGAGAGTCGCATGCAGAAGAGGGGGGGGAGTTGGGTCTTCTGTCTATGACTTATCAACGGGCCCCTCGGATTCGAAAGGATGGCTTCTTTGAAGGGGATAAAGTGTAGGAGGGGAAAGGCGATGGTCGTCTATTGATGGTTCTGGTTTGAAGGTCTCCCACCCCTCGTTCTTATGCTCTTCACACTCTCGGAGGTCTGGGTTCGTCGGGGAAAGACTCGGAGAATCTGAGTTTCCAATGGAGGACGAAGAAGAAGAAGCGTAGATCTCTCCCTCTCTCTCTCTCTGAGAAATGTCAGGATGATCTCACGTTCGGTCCGGCTCTTCGTAGAGAGAGGGGAGAGAGAGAGAGAGAGCTTCAAGATCTCTGTCATCTACCCACCGTGGAGCGATGCGTTCTCTCAGTCGGCCTCTGCTATCGTCATGTGTTTGCCCGACAATTGAAGATGCGCATTGAAATGCGGAGATTGTGGCCCATATTTCAAGTTGATCGAGAAAGAGCTTTTGACTTCTATTTTTCTAGAATTAGATGAGCCAGAAGCGACGAATCCACGCAGTCAGAAGTTGAGACTCTCTCTCTCTCGCTCGCTCGCTCGCTCGCCGTGGATGGACATTTCGTCAGAAACATGGACAGATGACGTTTGGAGAATATAGTTATCGCATGAGGAGAGATGGGGAAGGGGGGAGTCGGCAGGAAGAGAATCAAGGTGAGTGCAGATGATAAGAAGAAAATAAAGGAGAGATGGAAGTACCCACCTGCGAGAGAGAGAGAGAGAGAGAGAGAGAGAGAGAGAGAGAGGTCTCGGAACTTGAGGGGGGTACAGAGGGAACGATCTATCTCATCAACACAAGAGAAACATCGCATGTCGAAGCTCACTGCATCATTCGATATGGGAGCACCATCTTAACCTGATGTTCACATCATATCTTGAACCCATACTACAAAAAACGATAACGAAATGTATATACTCTTAGAAGAGAGAGTAAGTAACTCTCTCACTAACATCATTTAAGGAGAGAGAGAGAGAGAGAGAGAGAGAGATGCAGAGAAGTTGGTCTTGAAGCTGCTGACACCACAATCGTGTGTGAGAGAGCGGGTAGCCGCCGGCGGAAGAGAGCCGTCGCTGGTCCTTATACAGCCGTAACTCAAGTGAATCGTATTCAACGGTCGGGTATAACTTATACCAACCGTGTGGACGACTCGCTTAGAGAGAAAAGGAGGGAGAGGAGTATAAAATAAAATAAAATAAGGTACAACTGTAATTCCCCTTCTGACAATTGGAAGATTGTCTTTTTAGCCAAAACTATCATAAATCGGAGGGTGAACTACCTGACAATTTAATATATAAACCAAATCCAGAAGGGAAAATAAAGCGTATCAAAAAGGAAACACTAACGTCATCTAGCTTGAGAGAGAGAGAAAGGGGAAGGGGGGTGGGGGAGAGATGCAAGAAGTGGGAAGATTACCTTTTTACCTACAGCTAGAATACATTGGAGAGTGAACCACTTGAAAATTTCATTTATAAACCAAACCCAAAAGGGAAACTAAAAGTCATCTAGAGGGGGAAACACTTTCTCTCTTACTACATCATCTAGCTATAGAGAGAGAGAAAGATGCAAATAAGTTGGAAGATTGCATTCTTTGAGATCATCTGAAAGCTTGATTTATAAATCAAATCCAAAATGGAAAATAAAAGCCTTCAAGAGGAGGAAACACTCTATCTCTTGCTAACATCATTTAACTAGAGATAGAAGATAGAGATGCTGATAAGTTGGAAGATTCTATTCTTAACATGAGGTAGAATATATCTAAGGGTGACCCCCTTGACAATTTCATCTATAAACAAAACCTCAAAAGGGAAAATAGAGGGTATCAAGAGAAGAAAACATTTTCTCTCACTAGCATCATCTACCCAGTGTGTGTGTGTGTGTGTGTGTTTGTGAGATAGATAGATAGATAGATAGAGAGAGAGAGAGAGAGAGAGAGAGAGAGAGAGAGAGAGGGAGATGTAGAGAAGTTGGAAGATCATCCTCTTATGAAGAGCTAGAATACATCAGAGGGCATATCACATGATAGTTTCATTTATAAATGAAACCTACGAAAGAAAATACGGGGCATCAAGAGGAGAAAATACACACTCTCTCTCTCTTGCTTGTAGAATCTACCTAGAGAGTGAAATAGAATTGTAGAGAAGTTGAAAGATTGACTTCTCATTTATAACACCACTTTTATGTGATAAGTAATGCATAATTAGTATATTTGGTGCATTAGTTCATGTTAAATGATATAAACTTAAAGGGGAAATCAAGTATACTTTAAATTTATTATGTGAAGTAGATACTTAATGCATGGTTTTTACATACTTTTTATAGCATGTTTATATTTTAAATACTTTTTGATCATATGTTAATATGCTTTTACCTGATATTTTTTATCTTTAAAGTTGTCATTATTAGAGCCAAAATTATGATTAATAGTTAAAATTATTTTTATATATAAATAATATTTCTTAATTTTGGTGGTTTTTTTAATATTTTCGAAATATGTGTTGATTTATAAAGGAATTATGAGCCCATTAAGGCCTTCGTCAATTTATTTAAATAAATTAAAATGATTTGGAAAGTGGGTGGAAATGGGTGAAAACATCAAGAAACAGCAAGAAACGACCAAAAACAGATAAAAAATGGGTGAAAAAATGGAAGTTGATCCTCACTGAAAATTAAACTCTTTTTTACCAAGTTGATTCTTTGCTATTTATAATAGATTCTATATCTAATGGGACTATAAAAACTTTTGATTTATGACAAAGGGTCACTTTTTTCTTCTTCTTTTTGCAAATGATGGGCGACAATGTTCTATTGATTTTCATCAATTTCTCATGTTAATTTAGATAAAAATATGATATTTAAATCATTTCTTACTTGAATGAATTGAGAAACTCGATTTCTAAAAGAAGTATTCAAGATTTTGCTCAAACAAATTTGCCCTTACATCCCCCATGTTAAAGGGAAAATCCTAATTTCAATCCATTTTCTGTCCAATTTCATACTGTTTTTAGTTCGTATTAGCTTTAATTTTATTTAAAAAGTAGATTCTACAATAAAAATTAATTAATTTGTTTTAAATTTAAAATTTGTTGATCTAGCCTCTTCCTCGATGTCAAAGGGGAATTTTTGATTTTTTCTTGTGTTTAATTGAATCTAAGCTTGTTTACTATTCCTATTTCTTTCATTTTTGAGTATATTTTGTATAGTTTTGGTAAATAAATTATTCATATCTCCTCTATTGAGAGAACCCACTCATGAAGCTTTTTCTCTTTTTTGTCCCCCCCTCTCTCTCTCCCCTCCACCTCCTCTTTATATCTTCTCCTTTTTATTAATTATTAGTATCTTAATTGAATTATTTTTTTATAATTAGTTTCCTACAAATTACTAATTTGATGGTGACAAGGAAAGAGTGGAGTTGATCACAATGATTACTTGATTTATCTTCCTTGTGAATTTGACTAGAACTCACCACAATTAGTTGATTTATCTTAAACTAAATTACTTTTATAAATTTTAAAATTGGCATCTCTTAATACAATGACTAAGAGATGATCTTTTGTGGAGAGCTAGAATACATTAGAGTGCAAGTTCCCTAATAATCTGATCCATAAATCAAACCTAAAAATGGAAAATAAAAGGATGATTTATCCCACAAAATTAATACTTCTTGTCTTGTTAGATTGTAGTGAACATCAAGTATTTTTTTGGATATATGATTATTTAAAGCTCATTGTCAAGGCCTTCTAGTAACAACTATGGTATATGA